GACCTTGTGAGCTGATAAAACTTAGTTAAATAGAATTGGGTCCTAATAGAACACACATACATGTGAACACACATGCATACAAACACACACACATGCCCACACATACAGGGATACGATGTCTGTTTCTTCCCTCTCCTCCTGATGTTATCCTGTATGGCATTCTTAAAAACCACGTGAGTTCTCTGAAGGGAAAAAAAATGGTGACATGAGATTACATGAGGAATGTGGGTGGCAGGCTGTAAACCCCTTTTCATTTGGGGGAGCCATTCATTAGTAATGTTCTTCTTGGACCCTAGGTGCTAACTGACTAATGCTAACGGTGGCTGCTGCCCATGGAGGTTCAGGGACCACAGCCTTTCTCCAGCCCGCCGTTCAAAGCCAGCAGTACCCGTGGATGGCTCTGTGATGCTGTGATTGCCAGGGTCCCCTGGGAAGGGGATGGGAGCCCAGTGGTACATGCCCCAGGCATTATAGTATTTTACACAAAGACGGAGAGGAGACCGAGGTAGGCAAGCCAGGGTTGCTTTCTGTTAGCAGCTGTGTTCAATCTGGCTATGGGAAGATGAGGAAGGATGGCTCTCAGTTCTGTTCAGATCTCTTCCTTTAAAGATGGGGGTAAGGATGGGGATCGTAGTGTGTGATAATCTACAGCCCCTCCACACACATTTATTAACCCTGATCAAGCTCCCCCGGGATGAGTGGGGAATGAAGCGCCCCAACAACAGCGCTGTTCCAACAACAGCTTATGTAGCATAGCAAGAAGAGTTAGACCAGGAGGGGGACCCAAGCTCACACTGCTGGACAGACAGCAGGGCCAGGTCACACATGGTTCTAGAACTTAGCATCTGCCAAGGTAGGGACACATGAAGGTATTGGTGTTGCGGATTCGGCTAGTTCAGAGCCATCTCACACAAGCCATCGTCTGGGACATTGACCTCCAGGACAGAGAACTGTTGTAAACAACCATTTTCAAGCTATTCTGGAGATGTGTGCTTTCTGCTCTCTTGTCTCTGTCCCCAGGTGGACCTTGCTTGGGACTTGGTAGCTTTGTGTATAACTATAAGAGATACAACACAGCTCTGAAGCCCCGCCTTACATTCCTACCTGTGTGCGAATTGATTTCTCAGTCGTCAGTGTCTCCTAACAAAGGGAACGCAGCTTCTAAAGGCAGCAGCACATGCTTCCAGAAACATATGAGGCTAGATGGGGCTGGCGTCCTTCAGCCCAGCACCTGCTAGCTCCCTGCGGCCTTGCTTGCTTAGCAACCTCATATGGTTCATGGTCTTGCCCTGTGGGATGATTTGTAGTCCCTTGAGAAAAGGCTGATGTCAGCCATAGCCCCCTTGTTACAGTAACACACAAGCCTGCTGCAGCACAGGACCCCACTTCTAAGAAACGCTCGCCAGCACACCTGTCCCTGGCATCTGGGGTGGGTGGGTGGGTGCGTGGGTGGATGGATGGATGGATGACTGATGGATGGAGTGGGTAGAAAAATGAAGACTAGGTGGGTAGATAAATGGATGTGGTGGATGGATCTATAATGGATGGATAGATGGATTGGTAGATGGATAATAGATGGATAGAATAGATGGGGGTAGGTAGATAGATGGAATGAATATAAGGATGATGAATGGGTGGGTAGATAGGTAGATGGGTGAATGGACTGTGGGTAGGCTGACACACACACACACACACACACACACACACACACACGGGGTTCTTATTAGAGCAGCTTACAGGATGTGGTCCAGCTAGTTCAATAAGGGCTGTCTACCAACAATCTGGTAATTGTTCAGTCCACAAGGCTGGATGTCTCAGCTGGTCTTCAGTATGTGTTGGAATCCTGAAGTAGTAGGCTCTAATGGCAGCGAGGGCAAGGAGGCAAAAAAGCAACTGCTTCCTTCTTCCATGCCCTTTTTATGGGCTGCCACTGGAAGGTCTGGCGCAGATTTAAGGTAGTTCTTCCCACTTCAAAAGATCCAGATTTGGGATGTGCCTTCCCATTTCAAATAATTCAGTCAAGAAAAATCCCTTACAGGTATATGTAACCACTGGGTCTTAGTTAATTTCAGAGGTAATCAAGTTAGTCATCATGGATGGGCATATGGATAATGGATGGACAGGAGATGGATGGATGGATGGATGGATGGATGGATGGATGGATGGATGGATGGATGGGTAGGTGGATGACTGGATGGGTAGATGGAGGGATGGATGGATGGATGTTGGATGGAGGGATGGATGGATAGATGAATGGGATGG